TTACAGAGTCACATATAGAAAAGTTCACATATAGAATAGTATTAAGTTACAAAGTCACATATGGAATAGAATTATGTTACATAGTCACACATGTATAGAATAGTATGATGTTACAAAGTCACATATATAATAGCATTATGTTACAAAATCACATATATAATAGCATTGTGTTACAGAGTCACATATAGAATAGTTACAGAGTCACATATAGAATAGAATTATATTACTAAGTCACATATAGAATAGAATTATGTTACATAGTCACACATGTATAGAATAGTATGATGTTACAAAGTCACATCTAGAAAAGCATTATGTTCCAAAGTCACATATAGAATAACACTATGTTACAAAGTCGCATATAGAATAGCACTATGTTAAAGGGTCACATATAGAATAGTTACAGAGTCACATATAGAAAAGTTCACATATAGAATAGTATTAAGTTACAAAGTCACATATGTTACAGAGTCACATATAGAATAGTTACAGAGTCACATATAGAATAGCACTGTGTTACAAAGTCACATATGGAATAGAATTATGTTACATAGTCACACATGTATAGAATAGTATGATGTTACAAAGTCACATAAAGAATAGCATTATGTTAAAAAGTCACATATAGAATAGCATTATGTTACAAAGTCACATATAGAATAGAATTATATTACTAAGTCACATATAGAATAGCACTATGTTACAAAGTCACATATAGAATAGCACTACATTACAAAGTCACATATAGAATAGTATTATGTTTGAAAGTCACATATAGAATATCATTATGTTACAAAGTCACATATAGAATAGCACTATGTTACAAAGTCACACATGTATAGAATAGCATTAAGTTACAAAGTCACATATAGAATAGCATTATGTTACAAAGTCAGATATAGAATAGCATTATGTTACAAAGTCACAATGAATAGCATTATGTTACAAAGTCACATAAAGAATAGCATTATGTTACAAAGTCACATATAGAATAGCATTATGTTACAAAGTCACATATAGAATAGCATTAT